ATCAAAAGACTACCAACTAAGAAAAGCCCAGGACCGGATGGGTATACAGCAGAGTTTTACAAAACCTTTAAAGAGGAACTAACACCAATACTTTTCAAGCTATTTCAGGAAATAGAAAAAGAGGAAGAACTTGCAAATTCATTCTATGAGGCCAACATCACCCTGATTCCTAAACCAGACAAAGAAACTTCAAAGAAAGAAAACTACACACCAATATCTCTAATGAATCTAGATGCAAAAATCCTCAATAAAATTCTGGCGAATCAGATACAAAAACATCAAAAAACTTGTGCACCATGATCAAGTAGGATTCATCCCTGGAATGCAAGGCTGGTTCAATATATGGCAATCAATAAATGTTATTCACCACATAAATAGACTTAAAAATAAGAACCATATGATCATCTCGATAGATGCAGAAAAAGCATTCGACAAAGTACAGCATCCCGTTATGTTCAAAACTCTAGAAAAACTAGGGATAACAGGAACACACCTCAATATTGTAAAGGCAATCTATGCTAAGCCTCAGGCTAGCATCATTCTGAATGGAGAAAAATTGAGGGCATTCCCTCTAAAATCTGGAACAAGACAGGGATGCCCTCTCTCTCCACTTCTGCTCAAAAATAAAAGACCCAGAATAGCAACATAGTTCTCGAAACACTGGCCAGAGCAATTAGACAGACGAAAGAAATTAAAGGCATAAAAATAGGAAAAGAAGAACTTAAATTATCACTATTTGCGCCGACATGATTCTATACCTAGCAGACCCAAAAGGGTCCACAAAGAAACTATTAGAGCTAATAAATGAATTCAGCAAAGTGGCAGGATACAAAATCAACACACATAAATCAAAGGCATACCTGTATATCAGCGACAAATCCTCTGAAATGGAAATGAGGACAACCACTCCATTCACAATATCTTCAAAAAAAATAAAATACTTGGGAATCAACCTAACAAAAGAGGTGAAAGACTTATACAATGAAAACTACAGAACCCTAAAGAGAGAAATAGAAGAAGATCTTAGAAGATGGAAAAATATACCTTGTTCATGGATAGGCAGAACTAACATCATCAAAATGGTGATATTACCAAAAGATCTGTATAGATTTAATGCAATGTCAATCAAAATCCCAACAGCATTTCTTGTAGAAATAGAGAAAGCAATCATGATATTCATATGGAAAAATAAAAGACCCAGAATAGCAAAAACAATGCTAAGCAGGAAGTGTGAATCAGGCGGTCTAGCGATACCAGACTTCAAACTATACTACAGAGCAATAGTAACAAAAACAGCATGGTACTGGTACCAAAACAGGTGGGTGGACCAATGGTACAGAATAGACGACACAGAAACCAATCCACAAAAATACAACTATCTTATATTTGATAAAGGGGCTAAAAGCATGCAATGGAGGAAGGATAGCATCTTCAACAAATGGTGCTGGGAAAACTGGAAATCCATATGCAACAAAATGAAACTGAATCCCTTTCTCTTGGCACGCACAAAAGTTACCTCAAAATGGATCAAGAAGCTTGATATCAAATCAGAGACACGGCATCTGATAGAAGAAAAAGTTGGCTACGATCTACATATGGTGGGGTCGGGCTCCAAATTCCTTAATAGGACACCCATAGCACAAGAGTTAATAACTAGAATCAACAAATGGGACTTACTCAAACTAAAAAGTTTTTTCTCAGCAAAAGAAACAATAAGAGAGGTAAATAGGGAGCCTACATCCTGGGAACAAATCTTTACTCCTCACACTTCAGATAGAGCCCTAATATCCAGAGTATACAAAGAAATCAAAAAATTAGACAATAAGATAAAAAATAACCCAATCAACAAATGGGCCAAGGACCTGAACAGACACTTCTCAGAGGAGGACATACAATTAATCAACAAGTACATGAAAAAATGCTCACCATCTCCAGCAGTCAGAGAAATGCAAATCAAAACCACCCTAAGATACCATCTCACTCCAGTAAGATTGGGAGCCATTATGAAGTCAAACAACAACAAGTGCTGGCGAGCATGTGGGGAAACGGGTACATTTGTACATTGCTGGTGGGACTGCAAATTGGTGCAGCCAATTTGGAAAGCAGTATGGAGATTTCTTGGAAAAATTGGAATGGAACCACCATTTGACCCTGCTATTCCCCTTCTCGGTTTATTCCCTAAAGACCTAAAAAGAGCATGCTACAGGGACACTGCTACTTTGATGTTCATAGCAGCACAATTCACAATAGCAAGACTGTGGAAACAACCTAGATGCCCTTCAATAGACGAATGGATAAAAAAAAATGTGGCATTTATACACAATGGAGTATTACTCTGCATTAAAAATGACAAAATCATAGAATTTGCAGGGAAATGGATGGCATTAGAGCAGATTATGCTAAGTGAAGCTAGCCAATCCCTAAAAAACAAATGCCAAATGTCTTCTTTGATATCAGGAGAGTAACTAAGAACAGAGTAGGGATGAAGAGCAGTAGAAGAAGATTAACATTAAACAGGGATGAGAGGTGGGAGGGAAAGGGAGAGAGAGAAGAGAAATTGCATGGAAATGGAAGGAGACCCTCAGGATTATACAAAATTACATACAAGAGGAAGTGAGGGGAAAGGGAAAAATAATACAAGGGGGAGAAATGAATTCCAGTAGATGGGGTAGAGAGAGAAGAGGGGAGGGGAGGGGATGGGGTATAGTAGAGGATAGGAAAGGCAGCAGAATACAACAGACACTAGTATGGCAATATATAAATCAATGGATGTGTAACTGATGTGATTCTGCAATCTGTATACGGGGTAAAAATGGGAGTTCATAACCCACTTGAATCAAAGTGTGAAATATGATATATCAAGAACTATGCAATGTTTTGAACAACCAACAATAAAAATTAAAAATTTTAAAAAAAGCATATTGGGCCAGGTGCTCATGTCTGTAATCCTAACCACTCAGGAGGCTGAGGCAGGAGGATTGCCAATTCATCACAGGCCTCTAGAATTTAGCCAGACCCTGTCTCAAAACAAAAGATAAAAAGAACTGGGGATGTAGCTCCATGATATAGTGCATCTGGGTTCAATCCTGGGGACTAGGGGAAAAAGAAAAAAAAAAAAGATGGGAATATCCATGAATGGCCTTACATGTAACTTTAGATTTTCAGTTAGGGTTGGCAATCTATGACCCCTGGGCCAAATGTGCTCCAAGAATAGGGAATAATTTTTATTGTTTTAAATGGTCAAGAAAAAAAAATTAAATGAAGAATAATATCTCAAGACAGGTGAAAATGTGTTGTGAAATTCCAATTCCCCCATCCATCAGTGAAGTCCTGTAGTAACACAGCCTGCCTTTTCATCTCCATGTTGTCCCTGGCAGCTCTCAGGCTGCCATGGCAGAGCTGAGTAGTTGTGGTGGGGACCTGAAGATCTGCCAAGCCTACAATATTTACTGTTGGTCCCTGGACAGAAAAAGTTTGCTTACCTCTGTCTCCAACAGATCATTAAATGAGATTATTAAGCAGAACAGTTTCATTCTGGTATTGGAGTGTCTGTGTTTCCCCTTTCAACCTGCCACTTTCTCAGCTTTCTTGTAGCTTGTTTATTTGGCTACTTTTCTGTTTCTGTTAGTCTGTCTGCTTCTGTCTTTATGGCTGTTGTGGATCTCACTATTGGTGGTTCTTTTTGGGGGGATGGGGTGGGGTGGGTAGGAATTGAACCCAGCGGCACTTAACCACAGAGCCACATACCATCCCATTTTTGATGCTGTTGTTTCTGAGATAAGGTCTTGCTAAGTTGCTTAGGGCCTCACTAGATTGATGAAGATGCCTTTGAATTTGTGATCCTCCTGCCTCAGCCTCTCGAGCCACTGGGATTTTAGGTGTGCACCATCACACCTGGTTCATTCATGATTCTAAAAAACAAAAATTACATATTTTTATTAGACAAGAAATATCTAGTCCTTGGGGAAAAAATGTCAAATGTAAAGGCAATATACCTCAAGTCAGCCTCTGCTACTTGATTGGAAACTCACTTAGAGCAAGGGACCATATTCTTGTTTTATCCCCTGTACTTAGCATAGGACCTGGTGCATAGTAAACCCTAGTAATACTTCTTTTTTGGGGGGATGGGTACCAGGGACTGAACTCAGGGACACTTGACTACTGAGCCACATCCCCAGCCCCATTTTGTATTTTATTTAGAGACAGGGTCACTCTGAGTTGCTTAGCCTCTTGTGTTTTGCTGAGGCTGCCTTTGAACATGAAATCCTCCCGCCTCACCTCCTGAGCCACTGGGATTACAGGCATGTGCCACCATGCCTGTCTCCTCAATAATACTTCTTAATGAACTATTGCATGCTGTATCTGTGCTATGGTATCTTTTGCAACTTACTATTCTGCAATGTGCTTTTTCTTTTCTTTCTTTTCTTTTTTTTTTTTTGGTATTGGGGATTAAACCCTGGGGTGCTCTACCACAAAGTCACATCCCCAGCCCTTTTTATATTTTATTTTGAGACAGGATCTTGCTAAGTTGCTAAGGCTAGCCTCAAACTTCCAATCCTCCTACCTCTGTCTGCCCCACAGTGTACTTTCTTGTAAGTGATAATACACATAAACTATAGAAAGTGTATGAGGATAGAAGGAATTTTCCATTCTGACCACGGAAAACACACCCTTCTGTGTAGTAGCCAAGGCCCTCTTAGTAACTGGCCTTCTGTACAGCTCAGATGTTGCCTCAGGAAAGTGGAGTGGATCACAGTCAGGAAGCATTTTGGTAATCTCTTTTGGGGGTGACACACCAGTAGGGACACAGGAAACCTGGCATGGATCATTTACTGGGCCTTCTTACTTGGGATGGTAATTGTATTTCTGTGCCATGAGCCCAAATATCATTGTTCTCCCACCTATCCGTCTTCCTTCCTTGTTTCTATTTTTTTAAATTTTATTTTTAATGGATGCATAATAATTGAACATATTTATTTGGTACATTGTTACATTCTTTTTTGGAGTGCTGGGGATTGAACCCAGGGCCTCATGCATGATAGGCAAGTGTTCTACCACTGAGCTACAACCCCCAAACCCATCCTGATGTTTTGATGCACATACACATTGTGTACTAATCAAATCAGGGTATTTGGCCCATCCATCACCTCATACATTTATCATTTATTTGTGGTGAGAACATTCAGATCCTCACTATTTAGAAATATTTGATATTATATCATTAACCATAGTCACCCTGCTGTGCAATAGAACTCAAAGACTTATTCTTGCTCTCTAACCATAGCTCTGTCTCAATCATTCAGTCACTTTCTATCCCTCCCTGCCCTCCACACTCCTCCAGCCATTGACAATCACTTTTCTACTCTTTCCTTCTATGAGATAAGCTTGGGCAGATTCCCTGACTCATTTTGACTCTTTGATCTGCTACTCTGACCTCCTTTTCCTGCTTTTATAAGACTTCATGCAAAAGCAGGAGTTAAGAACATTATGTTCCAAGTGATTGGCTCTGTGCATGGCACCTTTGGAACCTCAGATTTATGGATCAAGTTGGGCAAGTTTCATGCCACCTATTTTTACAGATAAGGAAACTGGGGCACAGAGAAGTGAAACAGTTTGCCAAGGTCAAGGCCTGCTCCAGAAGCAGTGCTCCAAAGTGCTTTGCTGGGCTGTGTCTCTACTGCACACTATTCTGTTCCCACAGCAGCACCATCCCCAGCTTGATCCATGGGAGTGGAAGGGGGGGTGGCTTACTGGCCTTTGTATTCTCAGTATCTGGCAGAAAGCCCAGGGCCAGGAGAAGATACTGTCTGCCTGTTGACAAGGTGGATTAGAAGCACACTTTATGACACTTCCCCAGGCTTCCTCATCCAGCTGCTATTGGACAAGTTCCCTCCTAACCCGGCTGAGGGTGGGATGGAGTACACTTGGTTAGAACTTTCCTGGAAAGCAACTAGGCAATGTTGCCCTCCAGCAAAATGTGCTAACCATTGTGCCAGAGGATTTTTATTTCTAGGAATTTGTCTTCAAGTTAAAAAAATTCACAGATGTGTGTGCAACAATGTATATATGATGTTTATTGCAGTGTTGGCTATCATAATGGAAAACTCGAAACCATCTTAATGCCTGACTATAAAGAATTGGTTAAATAGCTTATGGTACATTTCTCTGATGGAGCATTTTGCAACCAGGACAATATCACTCTTAATGCATAAAGTGGTTACCCCTGGAGAAGAGGAAAATGTATCCTTAGGAACACATGGAAAGCTCCAGCCGTGTTTGTAATGATTTCTATCTTGAGCTGAATATTTATTATCTCATGCTTTCCCTCCTCCCCCCTGGGGGCCTCATGCACACTAGACAAGCACACTACCACTGAGCTGCATCCTCAGTCCTATTATCTCATTCTTTATACCTCTTGATATGTCTAAACTATTGAGTAATTAGGTGAAAAATGAAATTTTAAAAAATCGTGTTTAGAATACTTAGTGATGTGTCACAAAAATCATAAAATATTATGCCTAAGCAAACAGGTTGTAATAAATAGTACGAACAATATCATGCCAATTTTCTAAATCAGAGCATGTATTTAGGTATGAAAGAAACCCATTAAACTTTAAATTGTGTTTATACTTGGACAGTGTGGTTTCAGGTGATTTCCATTTCTACAATAAAACAGTATTATTTTGCACAAAAAAGTAATACTTTTTCACTTGCTGACTTTCATCTCTTACTACTTTCTGCTTTCTAATTTCCTCAGCAAGAAACTCCAGAATGATTTTCCACTTGTCTCTTACTTTGAATCTACCCATCCAGGGATTTTATTTGATTTTTGTTATTCACATTTTCTTAATCTTCTCCTTTGTTCCTGGCTAGTCTCCACAAGATTTTAGACCTTATTTTTTGTCATGTAGCAAATGCACTTGATCATGGGGTTATCCATACCCTGACCTGGTGATGTTGAAAACCCTGAGTTTTCTTTTAGCCAATCTGAGTTTCATTTTTAAGCTCCTTGTGGATATAAGTCACAGGGTTTGGCAATAAATTGCTTGTGATGAGTCAAGGATGGTAATAAGCTGCAAATTGACTTTATAACTTCATGCTAGTGAGGTGCATTGGGATACTCAATAGTTCTGTCCCATCACATCCAAAAGGTGATTAAATATTAATGGACTAGAGTCCCTCCCTGGGTGTGAATTCATAAAGGGGAATAGTGTGTATACAGGGTCAAGCAGGCAAACCTGACCAGTCTTTTCTTGAATTCATTCTGATGGAGAACAGGCTCAAGATATTGAGTGGCAGTGTGAGAGCTCATGACCTTGACCTCGGAGGGTTTCTTTAAGAAATCACAACTGGAAGAAAGACATCAAGGTGACAGGAGAGGCCCTGACACTACATTGGAAATTTAAATGGTTTCCTGAAGAAAGAGAAACAGCAGTAGTCAAGTTCATTTGGAGTGTTTTAGCATATGTTCTGAATTTGGAAACATTGCACAGAAGGAAGGCAGGGAAACAAGATTTTTGCTGCATTGCTTAGGAAATGTGTGGGAAAGTGTTTATAACAGGAGGATTCAATTATAAGAGCTTTGTGTTCTTTTCTTATGACTATATCACTTTCCTTCCTAGGCCAGAATGAGTAGATCAGAAAGTTCCGGATGAATGGATTAACAAACTGATCAAATCACCTATGTGGAGGTTAATCTCCTGCCTCCTGTGTGGATTCATAAAGATGTTGGTGGTTGGAAGTGACAGAAACCCAATTCAGAAACAACTTTGGTAAAACCAGAAGGGGCTTTATTGGCTGCTGTGATTGAAAAGGCTAGTGGGTAGTCCTATGTCCATCATGGCTGGATTCAAGGGCTCCCACAATGGGATTAGGAATCTGTCTTCTTGTGTGCAGCAGGCGGCGGCGCAGGGCGCACTGTTAGCTGGCCGCCTACCTTGGCTCGGTCAGTGTGCACAGGGAAACGTAATGTGTTCTGTGCCCACCTTGAACTAAGGAGATGTGTCAATTCCACTGAAATGACATTGACTACCATTGGGAATGGAGGTCTCTCAGAGACCCATCAGGATGTCATCCTTAGAAAGAGAAATAATAATAGAAGGAAGGTAATAATGATGCTGAATAGTCAAAAGCCTCAGACGTCCACACCCCACCAGAAGTCCATGCTTCTGAACATCAACACAAAGGCTACATCCAGAACAAGTTTTCTAACAACACTACATAACACCAAAGTACACAAAGATTGCCTTAGTTGGGAAAAGAAGGTCACGACCCTTATTCTTTTCTACTATAATTTTTTCTACAATGACTAACTCTTTAGCCACGAATCTGTTACCAAGGGCTTATTACCATAGAAACTCCCTTTGATGGGACAATTAGCATCTGTTGTTATCATTGGAATGTCATCATTTCATCAGGAGTTACTAATAATGGTGCTATTTTGGTTTTTCCATGCTTTCCTATGGATCTTCACATTGCAATCACTTCCCTGAGGTCATGGCCCACATCAGCACACTGCCAGGAAGCTAACTAGTGGCTTGTCAGATGTCTACTTGGTTCTCCAAACTCTCCTTCCACTGTAACAGAGGCCCCTGAGGTGCACACGTTAAAAAAAAGCTGGTGAGGATGATTCTGGGTTTGGCAGCCCAAGAAATACATTCTGGAGCTCCAATGTACTCGTCCAAAAGAGATCCTTATTCCATGTAGAGATTACATGCATAGGTTGCGATAAGGAAACGAAAATATTCCATATTTCATAATTTCTGCTTGTGTTGTCTGAACAAGTTAACCTCAAGTGCATTAAATGCACACCATGTGCTCTCCATGGAAAAGGACCAAGAAGTTTGTTTCCCTTAAACCCTTTTCAAAAAATTGTCCTCATGTTGATGAACACTGGTCTTCCATTTGTTTTACATGAAGAGAAAGATCTCTATAGGAATCTTCCGAATAAAGAATTCTAGTTTGGCAGAGTGCAGCACACACGCCCAGATGGTGGGCAGCTTTGGAACAGTGGTGGCAGCAGCAGCAGCGGACTTCGGACTGAGCCCTCCCCAGCCACCAGCTGCCCCGACCCCCCCACAATGGCACTTGCCCATCTGTCCCCAGCCCTGCCACCCAGCCCCAGGCCCTGCTGCAGCTGCTCCCTGCTGGAGTTGCCTGCCCCGAGCCCCCTGCGGTCCCTCACCTTCCTCTTCCCGATGTGGCCCCTGGCTTCCTAGCCGACCGCCACCAACCTGCTGGCCTCCACGTGGGTGGAGCTGGAGGAGGCCCTGCTGCCCATGGGTGCAGAGGGGGCCAAAAGGGAGGCACGCTCAGGTGGCAGCGGTGGGGGGAGAGGGGTGCATGCAGGTGGCGGTGGGGCGGGAGGCGACAAGGCCCACAGTGGCCCCTAGCTTAAGAGCAACCGCAAGAAGAACCAGCCTGGCAAGTACAGCCAGCTGGTGGCAGAGATGTCTGCAGGCTGGGCGAGCAGCGGCTCCTCGCTAGCGTGCGTCTAAGCAGAGGCCAGCAAGGTGGTGGAGTTTGACCAGCAGAATGGCTGCACCTACCTCAAGTACTCAGTGCATGCTGGTGCAGAACAACTTTCTGCTGCAGGTGAAGGGCACAGGCGCCACCGGCTCCTTCAAAAAGCTGGCGGCCAGCTAACAGTGCGCCCTGTGCCGCCGCCTGCTGCACACAAGTCCAAGAAGCCAGCGCGGTGCCATGGAGACCCCTGACCCACAAAAAGCGCTGCAGCCAACAAGCAAGTGTCCCAAAGGCCGTCTGGTACTCCCCCGCCCCCCCCCCAAAAAAGAAGGATACAGAAATGTGTATCTTCTTTTAGCAAGTCACTTTTGAATAGTTTTTAGTGCTAAAAATTAACCAATGTGCTGACATTTTTATATATTTCCTATTTCATTATCTCTGAGATGCCATCACCTTTAAGACACTTAGAACATTCTCATTCTATGTACCACTCAGAAGAAAAATTGCCATGTGGTTACAACATGCCAATTTTAAGATTCCATCCATCTCAGATGTGCATCTTAAAAATCAATGAAATGCCTTAATTATAAACCACAGAATTGTATGGTA